TATCTGATTAGATGATCTTCGCTTTCAACATCATCAATAGTGGCCAGCAGTTTGCGAAATTAATCTTTTGCCTTTTTCTATAACTCACTAATGAAAGAACAACTGCCTGAATGTCTAATAGGAAACTCCATCAATGCTGCGAAATTAGATATTCAAATAAGGAAATTAAAACAAGTGCGTCATAATGATATCAAAAACGCATAAGAACACATGTGTCACGGTTACATAAAGCGAGTTGTTATGTCTAATTTTTGAGTTCCCGTAGTCATATAAAATAAAATAAACTGCAGCATGTTGTGACCTCTACTTAATGAATAACATAAAATATAATTAATAGCTTTTATTGCAAAGGAACAGTAGGAAAAACAAAACGCATGACAACGAAGAAAATTTGCAATAATAATTGAAGACCAAAGATCGAACGATGTGCCTAATAAGTGTTAACACAAAGACCAATGAAATGTTTGAAGAAAATATGATTCGGAGAAATACTCATAGACGACTTTACTTCGTCGGTACATATATATTAACATTTATGTAACATACATTAATCTTTTCAATTCATAACCATAGGCACAGAACGAGATAGTAAGTAATAAAATATTCAATGGTTTCATGAATAAGTATAAGGAAAATAAAATTTTTAACATACAGACTGTCTATGCTATTAAATCAAATTTACATGCTTAATCAGTTGATGATGTTCACTATTCAAAAAATATCATTGTTTCTAAATTTTTACATTTTAAAACGCTACATAGCATCTGTTAAAAACTGAGTTGTATATCATTTATGAATAGCCTAGTTTCCTTCAAAAATCTTACAAAAAAAAGGTTCAAGTTATCGGCCACATATTGTTCTACTAAGATCAAAAGTAATTGATCACAAAAATTGTAGGGCAAAAATATTTTCGATTTGTATGAAAATCATTTTTAGTCAAGCATTATTTACTATTAAAATTGACGCTGAAAATATGTGCGACATAATAAAATAAGACTTTATCAATGATCAATCATCAAATACACATAAATCATTTGAACCGAATGGCACAGATGTAATACGAAGTTTAAAGTGACCTTTGAAATGTGCTGTTGTAAGTACTTGAATTAATATATTATTCTCTATTTCCGTTGAGATTGATTTATAACGATAAAATGATCATTTTTTCGACGATATTAAGTGTTTGCTAAATATTTAGCGGTCGTTCTGTGCTTAAAATTATATAATGTCACGTCAAAAAGTAAATTAGTACTTAGATAAGAAATGTGTGATTCTATCAAGACAATTACAATTTGCAGAACATGAGCCGATCAATATAGTTAATCATATACTACATTATTGAATGTTTTTCTGTTCTAATTATGTTAATGAATGCGCTTATTAAAAATTAAGTGAGAATGTAAAACTATAGTGACATTTAAATTAAATTAAAGACTTTGCCCATGCCATAGTCATCCGTTTGATATTGATTGTAAGATAGGATACATACATATTTTTTTTATCGAATAACTAATACGTACGTCATAGGCTATAAATCGTATTAAATTATTTCTATCATCAGTCCATCAAAATGTAAACGTAAAATCTGTTGAACAAAAAATATTTAAGATTTCCGAAAGAGGATTGATAGTATTATAATAGAAAATTCCATATAATATTCAATAACATCCGGATTTATAACCTTTGTATTTTTCAAAGCTGTCTTAGTTGCATTGCAATTTTTTTTAAGAATACGGGACAAGAACTGAAAATGTTCAGATCATAGAAAAGAAAGTCGAAATAGAAACTATTCATGTTTTTTTCAAGAAGATCTACTCTGTCTTTTTAATGGATCAGCAGAAAGTCACATTCACAAATTTAATCAATTTTTTTAAAACACGCGTCAAATTCTCTACTAAGGAGGGTTAATTATGAAGCTCTACGAGTGTCCATAGAATATATATATAGATATTAGGGTTGTCAATTTACAGTTTATTTAAATTAAATTTAACTTCGCGAAAAGTTAATTTAATCTAAAATTAAATTCTATCAAGTTAGATTAAAATTTTTCTCACATAAAAATTTTAATTTAAATTAAATTTTTGGACTGAAAAATTATTTAAATTTAATAAATTATTAGCAGCGGCGTAAATAGGGGTGGGGGGCGAGCGGGGTGTAACACCCTCCTGCTTTTGAAAATTTCGTTTTTTTTGCTCACCAAAACAGAAAAAAAAGTTTACGACCCCTGCTTCCAAAAGTTTATTTTTTAGGTCACGAAAACAGAAAAAATTAGAGTTACACCCCCCTGTGACGGCACAATGTCACCTGGATTATGCGCTGATACTAATTATGCTTTACATATATTTTCTCAATATAATTTCTTGATTCTTACTGTCTAGGTACTACCCGCGTCTTTACTTTTATCTGTATCTTTCTTTTTTTCATTAGCTTGTTACTTTTCTTCTCTGTTAGTTGGTNCCTGCTTTTGAAATTTTCGTTTTTTTTGCTCACCAAAACAGAACAAAACGTTTACGCCCCCCTGCTTCCAAAAGTTCATTTTTTAGGTCATGAAAACAGAAAAATTAGAGTTACACCCCCTCTGCTCTGAGACCTGACTTACGCCCCCGATTGTTAACTCTCATATGTATAAAATGAAAAGGATATATAAGGAATGAAAGAGGGATATATTAAGAGCGAAAGTGACAAGTAGTGTCACTCATGTTATGTGACGAACAAAGAAAAAGCGAACTTCGTGGGACTCGAACCCCCACCTTCCGATATCCGGGCAGATGACCTAACCAGTTAGATTTGAAGAACATCTTAATCTTCGTTTAGCGGTAGTAAATTACATCACTAACGCTAACATAAATTATTTGGATGGGTACGCCTCATTGTTTTGAGAAAAATACATTGACTAGAGCAGTAGTAAATACTAAATGAGAGGAGAACCTAGCATTTTAGGTTCATATTTGTTCATAGTAATCAAAATTTCTCTACAGATCATCCTGGATCCGTCATTTTTCTTCTTTAAAATACCGGGATACTCATAAAAATAATTTTTAATAGCACAATTCGTAGAAGAATAGCTAGCTTGAACTTTAGAAAACAAGAAACATACTCAAATTTGACTTTAAATAGCAGTAGGCATTGATTATTCATCAAATCTGGTTTTCGAATTATCATGTTAAAAAGCGAAAGATAACTGCATAGTATCTAATCATATTCTGCATCAATAATAAATATATATCTATGGGACACAAAAAAGAAGGCTTCTTTGTCCAGCTCTCATAATAGTCGTAATTTGCCTATAGGTGCTGTATTCTATATAATGCCTAGGCATTTTTAGATGCATGTGCAAATTTCACTGGTCGACGATCTTGACATCGTTCTTTCCAGATTCTTGATGCTAACTCAAGAAATGATTCTTGCCTGATTTTTAAGAAGAAAAATAATCTTGTCTGACAAGCAAGAAAAACAAGAACCTGAACAGATCGAAGTCAAGATCGTCGACTAGTGTTTTACCCTTTTATTTATTAGTCGTCGTGTTCTATTTTTGTATTGTTCTAATCAGTCACATAACATTTTTAGTATGAATATAAATCCGCGTAAATATCTTTAGACTATTATTTTTTACGTATAATTACATCTTTTTTCCAGTTCAATATAAGCTATACCGAACTCACAATGATTTCCATCGATTTCACGTTGCCAAGTACAACGGAAACAATTTTAAGCGTCTACGAAGTTCACTTCATGATAATAGTTTGTAAATCTACTACAAAGCAATGAAATATGACAACGATGAATAAAAGATTAAAATGTAGAGAATTTACGTCTAATCCTAAATACGTCAGAAAATCACGATAGAAAACTTACATGCAAACTATAGCTTTGGGGAAAGTTGAAAGTTAAGACATATTTGCTGACGCCTCATTTATTCATTTGCCCAGAATACTTCAAAATAGTAAATACAAAGAAAAAAATGAATAATTATTTATCTATTGGTCAATTAGAGCACCGATTGTAGTAGTACAAAATGGAGCAAAAATTACATTTCGTTGTCATGTAGATTCAATAAGTTTGTATGTGTGTTCTTGTTTTCTTTCTAAACTAGAAATTAAGCGAATATTCATAATGAAAAGACGCCAATGTAATTCCGCTTTTATACATATGGGAATACTTTTCAGTACAATTCATTGTCATTTGCAATTTGACATAAATACGCATAATAATGACAATTTCAACAAGACATATAATTATAGAAATTCATGTATTATTGAAGAATAGTTTTGAGTTTCCTGTATATGTCGACTATTAATTTCCGAAGAGTTTACTGAGCTTTTAAGAGGATGAATAATAGACTTTTATAAATCTGTAGGTTAACAAAAAAAAGTAAAACGTTTTATGATTAGGAATGACTTTTTTTTGCTGGCATTATAGAAACAGTTACAAGAAAAAAGATTTTAATTAGAATGTTGTGGAATGTATTGAAATATGAGTATAGAAACAAGAAAGTATTCTTCTCTTCATTTAAAAATAGGAGCTTCATTCTTCGTATATTGTTTACCTTATTAACTTCTACGTCAATTTCGAAAAGAGAAAAATATAGAGAATTATAAGCGAAAGAGAGCAATGCATAACGTAAATTAAGAAGAATAGATTTTCTTTCAAGAGCAGCAAGGAAAAAGAAAGAAGGAAAAAAGTATAAGAGAAAAAAAACTAAAATCATATAAAGCTCGTTCTTTCTTCATTATATCGCATTATTTCATTATCAGGTAGTATAAAATTTCTATTATAATTTGATGAGTTTCCATCGTGTTCATATGTTCTCTATGTATAGAAAATATGACATGAAGCAATAGTCAAATAGTGTCATCGAATTTTCACACATCCATGAGCGTTTATATATACTATTGGATGTTACGAAAGAAACAAATCCTCATAGAGTTCATTCATTCATTCATACGATGATCTTTAAATAACGATAAAATCTATTCATTTTTATCTATTTTAGTTTTACTATGAATTCCATTCGTTTAACGACATTAATTATTGTTTTACTCTGCGCTATTGACAATATTCAAGGAAAGCCAATTAGTCCGTCATTGAACCATTTCGGCGATAATGTTAAATATTTATTGAAGCTTCTTGGCGTTGAAAATGAATATTTAAAATTTTTATCCTATATGAAACTCTACCCACCAGCAGATGATAAAATGAATGGTCTCTACAATGATTTATTTTCATTTGATTCATTTATATCTGATCTTACAGAAGTTTATACCAAACATTATACACCAGACGATATTAATCAACTTATTAGTTTTTATTCCAGTCCATTGGGTAGAAAGGCTAATCAAGTAACACATTTGCTAGACAAAGAAATGGAAGACGTAATGTTAAATAAAATCAGTGATTATATTTTTACATTATCAGAAAATGGCTTCGACATAACTCTACCACAAGTTCCACATTAAAACAGATTTTAAACAAAAATTCAAAATATTTTATGTCATTTCTTTTTTTTTTCAAAGTTCAAAAATAAATCGAACGATACACATATTAATAAATTTGTTATCAGTGTGAAAATGAAATTTTGTTTAACTGTAGCACAACTCGATAAATAATCTCGCAAGAAAACTAAATCATTATAATAGTAACATAGAGACAGTCAAACGTATTCGGAATATAGCCAAAAGAAACATGACATCGGCTTATAATAAAAATATTTTTAGATAATCGATGATACTCGACAAAGAGTAGAATTACTATTAACGTCAATAAATAATGAGAAAAAGGGTTTTCTTGATTTAATTATTTTAATTTGTGCACAGGTACTTGAATGCCAGACTGTCTTTTATTCTATTTAAGATTTTATTTTAAAAAAGTTGTTTTCTTTTGTATAATATTAGAGTCGATTTAAGAAAATGTCTGTAACCTTGATCGAATTTTTAAACTTAACTTGTCGGTAGTTCAAATAACGTGTGACTCTGTACTATAAGATAGTCAAACAGTGAAGACTACATTGTGGAAAGATCTGATTGATTGCACTCCAGAAAAGGGTTTACAGGATTTCCTGTCCATTGATTGTTTTTCTTAGAAAATATCTTTTTTTCTACAGAAAGTACAATTTTTGCTGCTGAGGATTTACTGTCCATTGATGGCCTCGAAGAATAGAAATGAACAGAAAAATATTTATCGCAATCAGCTATGTATTTTTAGAAAAAGAAAGAATTCAAGCAAATCATTAGATGGAGATTGCCTATTAATTGCATGAAATGCTTCTTCAACTATACGATCAATGGGACTAGATTCTTCGATAACTTTTCGCTTAAAATTTTGTCTCATTTCTAATACTTCTTTATCAGTTTCGTCAGGTAGATGTGTATGATCTTCACGAGCAATTACTGATAAATCTAAGTAACTTGTAGCTATTGTTTGACATTTAACACATATCCAATATTCCGAACCATTTTGATTCTGACGTTTCAAAGAATATCGATATCCGATGTAGCACAATTGTCGTTTGTCATGGATATATTCAGTAAATATAGCAGACATTTTTAGCAAGAGTATGATAAGACAGTTATGTTCTTTGAATTTATATATATTTATTATAAATTTTTGTCATATTAATGACTATTTTACCCTTCAATTTGATGAGCATCCGTCATTTTAAATTGAAAATTTATTCAATAGTTCTGTCGTTGGTAACATTTTTTGTTTTTCCACATTTATGTAATTTTTTGTGCGGAAAAGGAATTGGCTGCCAAGACCATTACTCATTTATTAATTTCTCTTCTTCGAAGCAATTAATGGGCAGTAAATCCTCAAACGAGAAAAACGCTAATTGGAAAAAAAAGTTATTCAATCACTGGACAGTAAATCCGCGGACAGTAAATCGTATACACGCCAGAAAAGACGTATCGTTGGTATTTTATTCGAACATAAAATAGAGACAACTCATGTAGTCGGTACAGTAATAATGAATGAAATTAAATGATAATGCAGCTTACTTCATGTAATTAATTGTACATTGTTCGGCTACTTAAAAACTCTTGTGTGACTGAAAAATATTTATAGAACTATTTATTGCAACATAACAAAAAAATGAGTTTCATTAAAATATTATTGATCTACATTAAGTTTGTACTAGTTCACGTCAAAGTTCACTAGAATCGAGAAACACAATCAAGGAAAGTGTTCCCATTTGATGATCTAGATGTTATCTACACAGTATATGTTTACTTTCAAATTTTCTAAATAACCTTTTTCTAAAGTCTAGATTGTACCGAGTATTTAATATGCATTACCGTTTGATATTAAGAATAGATTCAAGTAGTCTGAAGTAACAATTTAGTTTTTTCCCTACGAGACAGCATCCGTCATTCATTTGACTATTTGATTAGTTTTCATTGTCAAGATGGAATTATATAATTTTCTCTTTATACATAGGACTACTTTTAAATATCTACATAGCTACTTTATTCTATATTTTATTCTTATAAAAAGAAAATCATCCTAAGTAAATAGAATTAAGACGATGACTTATGACTGGAAAAATAAGGGCTGTCTCCGATTCGGTCCTAATTGGAAATATGTTCTCTCAATTGGGTCCTATCTTAATCAGGTCCTATCTCAGTTCGGTCCCGTAATTATTTCTCATTTCTATTTGAATAATAATAATTAAAATAATTCATGTATCAAAGAGAAGAGAAAAATTTATATCATAAAGAATAACAAGACAATTAAAAAATCTATTAACATATAGAACTTATAGACATCGATATTAATTCAAAAAAATTGTTGTTTTACTACTTCTTGACTAATTTTGTTTTAACAGCTTCAACCAATCATAATTTCAAAATGAAATTTTTAGATTTAAATAGGGTGGGCATGAACATTACGGTAGGCTTATTATATTTATATTTATAAATCACGAATAAACTGACAGGAATCGAACTGAGATAGGACCAAACTGGGGTAGGACCCAATTGAGAGAACATATTTCCAATTAGGACCGAATCGGGATACGATCGAAAAATAACAATGATTTTTATTTTAATCAAATGAAGAGCAATTATTGAATCACAGACAGATATTTGCTGCCTCCAAAACTGTTTATTGCAAATTATCCGACAGGAAAACATACATATATTAGAACTACTGCTTAACAATTTCTTTTTTCTATTGAAATGAAATATTTCTTTTTAAATTTTTATTTTCATTGTTTATTATAAGGATGTCATATCTCTATGATGAAAAATTTGGAAAAGCCATACATAGAAAACTATTTCAAATCCTCTATCGACTACTGCAATCACATCATCTAATCAATATTTTCATAAAAAGAAAAAACATCGTTCATTAATTTCATTCTTTTTTTTTTTAAAGATAGTTATTTGATATGAATCTTAAGAGAAATATAATACGAGACAATTCAATGTTAAAAGCTAATGCGTCTATTGATATTAATCAAGTTCAATAGAAACAATAACCTCTATTGTTGTATTCTCGTGGACAATCATCAATAATATCAAATCAACGGCAACCAATGTCATTAAATGAAAATAATCAATCAATAGAAAATCGAAATTTACAATCACCGACAAATTATAATGCAAAACTTGTTGGTCATTCTTACGGATATCTAGAATTTTTCGGTGAGATAATTAATAATCAGGATTCATGTTTTGGATTTTCCGTATCACAAATAGCATCTAAGTGTATATGATTATTGTAATATTTCTTGGCATCGTTCTCAATATCTCTTTGATAGTTATTTTTAGAAAATGACGAAGAAATTTTTTTTATTATGCTTCAAACTGATCGAGTTTACTGTCCTTGTCTTTTTCTTTTTTTTGTTAACGATTAATTTGTCATATAATTGCACTCATGCTGCTTCATCGATTCAAACACAAATAGATATTGACAAGACGAAGTACTTGACTGGCACTGAATACGAAACAATGATGCTAATTTATTCTAATAAATGAATATTAATTGTTGTTTATTTACTCTGATTTGCACAAAAAATATAAAGAATGAGAAATATAACATACACATATCATTATTATAAAGTACACAAAATATTTTATGTTCTTTGTTTCCTCTGTTCTTTTTATCCGTGTAAAACTCTTCATTACAGTTCATAATTTCATCTCTTCTTTCTATTGATCTATCTTCTTTGATTACACATTTGACATTGTTATAGAACTTAGTGTTTCGATATCTAAGCAATTATAGCTGACGCATACAATTCACATGTGCACGACACATTAGAACTCATGACAAACATATTCAATGATGATCTTACATAATGGACCGAAAATTGACACATTTTTTATTCATTGTATGGATTTGTTGTCCATTTTCTCTGTATATACACAATATACGTGTGGTACATATTGAAATTTTTTAATCAAACGCTATTCTTCAACAATCTCCCAGAGCAATTGTAATACAATGAAATAAAAAGTGAGATTTACATGACCTTGTGGAATAGAAAATACTATGGAATAATAATGATATTTTTCTCTTAGAATAAAAAAAAATAGTAAATAGTTTAGTATAATATAACATTAGTTGGAGTTAATCAAAGCGACCATTGTTGTTTTCAATGAACGATAGAAGGGAGCAAAGATCAATTTGCATATCGAAGCAACAGAACATCAATGCAGGTGCTTTTCTATTGTTAGATGTGAATGGTTAATTGACATAATCTTCATTTATTATATATTTCATTAGATTCTACTTTATGAAGGTAAAATAGAGAAGAACAAGTGCAACCTTCAGCATTTCTATTTTTTATTTTATTTTTATTGTGAATACAAAAACATAGATTTATAATTCATTTTTATTCGTAGAAAAACTATAGGTGAGGAAAAAACATTGGTTTTGTTTGTTTTTGAACATCAAATCTAAGAGAAGTCAATGATAGAATATAGTTTCCGTTCTATTTGATTCATCGTAATGTATTGAGAAAAGAAAAAAAAAAGAATAGGTTTGAGAAATATTTGTCCTGTAGAGAAGTAACAATTAATTGCATCTGTTGTTGTTTCAAGACTTTCGCTTGTATTAAGAAAGTGTAAAAAACGACTATGATGGCGTTATGCTGAGCCAAATAGAAAAATGAGTAGCTATGTATGCGAACAAGACTGAGTGTAATTTTATTTTCTCGGGTAGATATAATGGCTAGCAAAGGAAGAGGAAGAGAATGTGGTACGAGAATAATAAAATCGGCAGCTGAAATCTTATGGGACCGGTCGCGACTATATACATGTTACCCAAGTGTCGTCGTACTGAGAAAACTCGAGAATATATATATATATATATGTAGTATCATCTTGACATTTCAAGGTCGACCGGAAATTATCGTGATCAGATTGATAACGCTATATATGTATATGTAAATAGTGAGATTCGACTAGACTTTGTACCCGGACCTTATTTTTAATTCTAAGTTTTTGACATTTTACTCTCGAACAGTCTTGATGTCCTCACGAGAGTTTAAGACGCCTTCACTAGATAATATCTGATGAAACTCAAATTTAAAAAGCCATTTATAATCCTTTTCATAGTATCTAAAGACTAATTTAATTATGTATGGGTTGGCTCGTTTTCATATCTCTACTTTTATTTCAAACCCTACATCAAACAAAAAAACCTGCTAAAATTTTTTTTTTATTGTTTTTAGATAAAATGGATGAGAGTCAAGACGTTCCCGACACAATTTTCAGTAGTAGTCCATTACGTAAAGTAGTTCGTTTTAATGAAAAAGATGCAATCCCACAACAATTAACAACATCTACTAGTCTATTAACATCTTCGTCAACGATAACTTTGCCATTTCCATTAATATCACAAAAACCAAGCGTACGTTTTCAACTGTTTTGTCTTTTTCTTTGTCTTATTACTGCATTGGCTCTTGGATTTATTCTCAGTCTGTTATTTATTACTCAAATAGTACGTATGCCTAAGCCAAATTTTCTATCGTATCGATTTTTTTCGAAATCATCTGAGCAAAATGCAATAAATAATCAAATTCATTTATATGAACATTTCAATCCACTGTGGATTAATGAATTAGATTTAAGTGCAGATATTTGTAATGATTTTTATGGTTTTACATGTCGCAAATGGCTATCGAACCATCCATTATCACCGCTTGAATTAAAAAGAAGTTGGCTAACTGAAAGATCACAAAATATTCGTGACGCTTTCGCTGAAAGGCTAGCTAATTTAAGTGAAATTGAGGCATACAACTATCAACTACAAGCTGACAAAAACAATACTCAAGAATCAGTTGAAGATACAACTTTGAATTATTTTGATGGATTATCATCAGACAAAAATGAGTAAGTCCATAGAATAACTTAACTACAAATTACAATTAAGAATACGATTCATTTTATTGAATTGCATAGACGAATTATCCTAATGTTTACCCACTTGGTTTTTAATACTAAAGATCATAAACCATTTGCATGGTATTCCTTTAAAAAACTATCGATTGAAGATAGAAAAACAGTTTTTCGTCATAGCGACTCGTCTCGTGTTCATTTATCCTTTTCTAACGAGTAGCACTGAAATTTATTTTTCTGTAGAATTATTTTTATTTCAGACATGAACGTATAAAAGAATAGAATCGTTTCGATAAAATTCTATGAGCAAAGAAACGATATTGCAAGACCGCTTTCAAGTCATATTTAATTGATAGAAGGTCGAAGTTTACAACTTCTTCAAACAGCTTTCTTCTTGTTTGAAATGGTTATAAAAGGAATTGATGCTTGAGAAACGGAATCAAAACTAATGGTTTTCATAATAACTATAACAAAAACAAAACCCCAAGGGTAACAATCTTAGAAATAGACAATCTGATGTCAACTCGCGAGCAGTTTTTTATTATATCATCAATAGCTTTACGCAAGCTATTTGCATAATTGACATAACATCCACTCTATTGGATTAGCATCTAGGTAGGGTTAGAGTATCAATAAATAGTTGTTAAATCTTTTCCTTCAGGGATGTTCTTAAGTTCTTTTTGTAAAACTGATTGATTGATGATTTAAGTTCATCCGTGTCTAATTTCCATCATCATTGAACCAAAAGGATTTGATACGAACTTGAAATTGTTTTCAAAAGAAATTTTCAGAGAAAATCGAAAGAAGATGAATGTTTTTGAAATAAATGATCATATGATAAACTCTATAATTATTTTTCTTAGACTGGAATACTTCTATTCTTCTCATGATGAATATGAAAATGAAAAGCATAAACTAGTTAAACGTGAATCAACTATAGATCCTCAAGATTTATCTCAATCAATATCTAATATGTTACTTTATTATCATCAATGTATTCATACGTCTGAATCGGTTCTAATCGACGACTTAAAACGATTAGCATACGATCGTTTTTGGTTTACAAATAATTATGAAATTATTTCAACAATAAATCATTTCCATTTTCTATTTGAACAAATGATTGAACATCCATTAATGGGCATATGGAATGTAAATACAATAAATTTTGGTACACAAATTATTATTCATATTCAAAGAAAAATTCAAGATCAACAAAAATTTCTTTTATTACATCAAATAGAACAAGCTGGTATTTTCGAACATTATGTACAAAAAAATCATATTGATTTATGTTATCAATCAGCTCGTGTTGGTCCATTAGCAAATACATTAAAAGAATACAATGACGTGTTAACATCAACACTGGTACCTTCTGAATCTTCAATAAACGATGATTTACATAGTTTAATATCAAAACAAGATTCTTTACCAATTGTTTATTCATCTGTAAGACGTCCGAATGATTTACGAGATTTAATTCAATTTATGTTAGATAAAGATATGATTCAATCGTTAAATAATACAGATACTTATGATTTATTTTTGAATTTTACACATGATCTTGAACAGTATTTATTGCACACACCCATATTTCGTAGCACAATATCAAGTCAATGCCAATTATTTCTTAATTATTATATTCGTATTCGATCATTGAATGAAACAAAAATAGAATCATGGCTAGATTATATATCATCATCGATAATACATTTAATTCTTCATTCGTGGCCTGGTGATGCATCCTATACATGTTTATATTCAACAATAGTTCGACATAATCAATTTGAAATAATTCCATATTGGCATACATTTATTGAGTATACAAAAAGTCAAATAAAAGATATTTCAACGCCGATTATTACAGTTGAAATACGATTGGTCGATTTCTTTCAGCTTGATTCAACATTTCGATTTTTATTTGCTGATCAATTTGCACATTATTGTAATTTAATGGTTTATAAATATGGACCTAAACTATTACCATTTGTTAGTACTTTTCATGAAGGAATACAAATTACTTTAAAAAGTCTTTGGAAACAAGTTCTACAAGAAAATTTCAATGAACAAATCAGTAAGATAAATTGTTATTTCTTTATTTAATTTTCTATTATAAATAAGGTCAACTATCAAAATCGTTTTTCTTAGTTTTTCTTTTATAATTCTCTATTCAATGAATTTCATTTTGTTTTTTTGGTAGCGATGTTTCGCCAACAGATTAGGTCTGAAATCTGAAATTTTTAAAATGCTTTATTCATCACATGTACTGAGATGAGAGTAGAATTGATATATAATACACGTGAAAGATATGAACCTGCCGTGGGATTCACACCAGCATAAATAGTTGACAGTTTGATGATTGTTATTGAAATGCAATTAGTAAAATATATATTCTTTGAAAATTTTCGGGTGAATGAATTATTCTATTAAATCAAGTTTTCCAACAACTAAGAAAGGAAAAAACTCATAATTTCTTCTTTAATAAAGCCATATTTATGCACCGTGTCTCTTTTTATCTCTTGAAGATGTTCATTCTTCACTTGTACCATCAAATCTTGTACCGGACGATTGTCTCACTTTACTTGAATATTACTATCCATATACATTATCATCATTTTATGAACACTATATGTCAAATAAAACTGAACAACTTTATGTCGTAGCCGATGAGCTTCGCAATCTTCTTGTAAATAATTCTGATAATGAATTTTTATCATCAATTAAATTTCATATAAAACCTGAACGCCTGAAATTATTCGATGAACTTTCAACAACAAAATCTCATATTCCATATGAATATTATTTAATTGAAGATAATTATCTATCAACAGCATGGAATATAATTGAAAATTTTCAAGAAGAAGTTTTCCAACCAAGCCATACATTTTTCGAACTCAACGGTCATCATACAATTGAGCACGGAATATTTTTACAGCCAACAATAGCTGAACTTTATTCAAATGAAACAACACGTCAAGCCGCACTTCTACTTATTGCACACGAACTTGGTCATGCATTGTGTCCGTGTGGAATCAATCAAACTGAACGTGAATATTACGCTGATCTGATTGCACTTCATCTAATTATTGATTATAATGAACAACAATGGAATCGGACATTAACACCGATGGATTTAAAAACATTTTTTATTACATATGTTCAATCAGAATGTATGCATATCAATCATGAGATTGTTTCATTAATGAATAAACAAAAATATTTTATTGAATTACATATCAATCGAGTATTACAAGAAAATGATGAATTTCAAACAATATTCAATTGTTCCTCGAATCAAGATAGATCAACAAGAAAAATGAGTAGTCTATTACTGGAATTATGTGCTACATGTAGAAAAGTCAAACATTAATGTTCGAATTTTCTTAATAATGCATGGGGTTATTCGCCTAGAAAGAAATAGATCAATTTGAAAAAGTAACCCGATAGAGAAAAATAACACGTCTGTAATTTTCTTTGACAATAAATGAAATTTTTAATAGATCTTTCTCTGTCTTGAACATGTTCAAAGATTCCAAGAATATTAATGCTCAAATTACAGATATGCAATTTTTAATTAAATAGGCTATTTCTGCTGACATTGTATCATTAGATAATTGTCTCAAAATTATTAAAAGCTTTGCTAGAGTGATGCAATTCGGCATGTTTGTGGATTCGTTGACTTTAAATTATATAAAACTCTATAACTCTAGGTGTCACAAAAAATAAGAATTTAATTCTACTAGGGGAAAATAGTAACGGGTGGCCCAGAATAAATGAAGCTCTCAGTATTTCATTAATATCTCGCTCAATTTTTATTGTACAGAGTTGAAAATTTCTCTAAAAGATGCGCCATTCAATTCTTCACCAAACGCGTATCAAAACATTCTCTGAAGATAGATAAGCAGAAAATTTTTTAAATTATACTAAACACATACAAAACGACCAACTTTCACAACCATTGTAAAGATAAAAGATAGAACGTTTTTTACACTACCTTACACAATGAAACAAAAGTGAAGATGTTTTTGAGTACTATGAAGTACTCTTTGTGGCCACGTAGTTCAAAGTTCGGTGAAATCACTTGGAAATTAAAGAAGCTGACTTTTCAAAATCCTATCAAAAATACCTCAAATCTGATATTTTTGCCAACTGAATTGAAGAAGAGAGTTTGATGTCAACTTGCGTGTGTGAATCTGATACAGTAGTGATTTTCCATCAAAATAAAGAAAACTCGAACCCGAAAGACGATACTTTGGCTTAGTTATGCCTCTTTTCACAAGAGCTTCGAAATTGCAGATCGAAACAGCTATGTTTTCGAAAATCTAAAAACGAAAATAAGCGTTGTATGTCACAAGGATGAGCACAACAATTTTCAAGGGCTACAAAATGCTTATTTTATTTTATTTCCATCGTAGTTAGTCAATTGAAAAGCCTGCAAAAACGGTTTTTCATCGTTGAAAGTTGACATTTTAGTGCGTCTTCAGTACTATTTAAAACGTTGTTTCCTTGACTCTCTTCAAAAAGATGTTCGACATGAGTTTTGTCAAGAATTGAGTGGCGCATCTTTTAGAAATAGTCAACCCTGTAAGATGAAAATTTGGGTATAGGCGCTAGTGATGAGGACGTCCGCGCCCACACACCCTAGTGTCAGTCTCTAATTATATTTACATTGAAGATGCGCATACTAGATCTGAAAATCGTGTTTAAATTTCCATCGAAAACTTTGGATCAACACCCGAGAACTTTCGTTCGTTAGATTCTATATATCCTCATATTTGAGACGCAGAAAACAAAGACTTTAGCAGAAGAACAGAACGAATAATAATCCTTTTAATTTTACTTAATAAATAAAATCTATTTAGAAAATAAAAAACAACATTTTTCCTAGAACAACATTTTAGATTATAAATTAATCGTAAATGATCAAAAATGGTCTTGACACGAGCATTGACCATTTGGATAAAAGTGATGAATACGATTAGCATCACGAACAACAATATCACATTGTTCAATTTTTGCAATCACTTTTGTAAATTCTTCTTAAATATTAAAAAACAAATGTTGACGATTGATTGAAAGAGTCTATGGGGTATTCCATTTCAAACTGAATTAAAAAAAAAGCTGTACTTCCGAGGAAGGTGGGGGTTTAGGGGATCCTAGAAAACCCGTAAACAATTCGAACTAGACACCGATGAACAAACTTTCTTCACCAAAGCTTCAAGATAATCTCTACACCTTCCACGCTTCGCATGTACCAACCAGAGCTGCATCCGTCACCCGAACAATATTTAACCCCAAAACAAGAAGTATTCAATTGATTTCAGATTTCTGAATTCTGAATTCATATATATGTATGTAGGTATGCTTTCTTTTGAANCCCCGTTCAAAAGAAAGCATACCTACATACATATATATGAATTAAGAATTCAGAATTCAACTGAATTCATCGAAGTGAATAGTTTCGAAGATCCCCTAGCCCCTCATTTGTTTCTGAAATGACGGGTCATTTTTTTGGTAGAATTCTGATTGAAATCATATACCCCATTGTATGGATTGAAATGAAAATAATAGAATATCTACTTACGACAATGACCACAAACACGAAGATTTTTAACAACTTGAATAAATTTTGGACCAAGTTCTTGAATCAAATTCAGTGCGATTACCAATAGTTCACTATGACCACATAAAACAGATTCCGTGGTTTCATTTTCGTTTAATGAACGAGTTATCCAAGATGAATGAAATATGAAGCCATTTTCAATCGCTTTTGATTTTAAACGATCAATTTTAGCATAGATTTCAGTTGATTGTGGATGAGAATGATCATGAGTTTTAAGTTGCTAAAAATGAATCAACAAAGGACTTATATTTAAATATTAAAATTTAAAAAAACTACTTTACCACTATATGACCTTTATTTCAGTCCATGATAGTCCTACTTTTACTTTGACTCCCAACTCTTTTATTTGGTTAGAGCGAAAATTTTTAGCTTCTTCATATCTGCCTAATGACGAATATATATTTGAAAGAAGAACTACATCGGCTACAATACTTTCTTTTGCATTAGGAAATAAAGTTTTCATTCGTTTATATATTTTTTCAGATAAATTACTATTTCGATTATTACGTGCACCGGATAACAAAGACACTAATATAAAAATAAAGAATTTGATAAAACAACAATATAATATTATTAAAGTAATACTAACTATACATGGCAATACTTGGTGTATTTGTCTTTTCATAATCTTCAATCAACTTTTGTGCTTCATCAAACATAAATAAACGACTTAAGCAATCAATCTTAAAAAGAAAACGAATGCATTAAATATAATATTTAAACAAACAAACAAAACGTTAAACCATAGTAGTGATGATTGATTCTGTTTTCAAAGAAATTTCATTAATGATAGTTCGAGCTTCATGAAGAAGACCTGCATGAGAACATGCATTAAGAACACAAATCTGTGAAATGTGATCACGTAGATTATTAGGCATTTCTCTGTATAATTTAGCAGCTTGTGAACCCATTCCATTCAGACCAAATCCATTGACTAAAAAAATCTTTTCTATACTTATCATAAAACTTTCATGAAAGAAAATATTATTACTCATGGCATTGTATGTGATAGTATCACGATCAATAACTAAATTAAATACGTTCTTTGCTTTTTCAATTGAACCACATTTACCCTTCCGAAGAAAAAACAATAAACAGCCGATTAACCGATGAATCCCTGAAATCGATATTTACCCACATATCAATCAATGCGTTTTGTATTCGAATGTTGTTCTGAATATTCAAAGGAATTTGATTCATAATATATTGGCAATGATGTAGCATCCCACTTTTTGAACATGCACCAATAAGTACATTCCATGCAATCTCATCAGGAATAATATCTTTTTCATTCATTTCTTCAAAAATCTTAAAACATTTCCATGATTCACCATTCAGATTATAACCATTCATTAAAGCACCATAAATATCAGCACCTTTCGCTTTGATTGATCTAAAAATTTGTTCGACACTTTCAACATCGCCAAACTTCATTAACATGTCAATTGCTGAAGTTGATGTGATATTATCATTTCGATAACTCTCAGGCATTTCATCAAGAAGTTTTTTTCCTGTTTTCATTGCTCGATTATTGCAAAGTTTGGCACAAGTGTTAAAAATAATAGTATAAATTACGTTCGTTAAGCTGAGATGAATTTGCTCAAATAAATCCAATGCTTTTTCGAACATTTCATTTCCAACATAACCTAAATTAAATTCTGTTTATATTATGAAACATATTATTTATTAATTATCTTTCATCATAGCTCCGTAAGTAATAATATTTTTTGTTTTCATTGGTCTGAAAATTCGTTCGGCACTTTCAACATCACTAAATTTCATTAACATGTCAATTGCTGAAGTTGATGTGATATTATCATTTCGATGATTCTCTGGCATTTTATCAAGAAGTTTTTTTCCTGTTTTCATCGCTCGATTATTATTAAGTACAGCGCATGCATTAAACAAGGTATTGAGAGTAAACTGATTAGGTTCAATTTTCATTTCATCGAATAAATCCAGTACCTTCTCTGCCATATTATTAGTAATTAGACCTGTTTATAACAGATATTTATAAAAAAAAAACGTTCTGAAACAATATTGACCTTTAAACACAACTGTATACATATAATTGGACTTATTTGTAATGGAAGAGAATAGGTGCATTGCATTATCAATATCTTTGCATTCCACTGAAAGTACAAAACAAAAAATCACGATCGATATATAATTGTGCTAAGTAGTGAATGACTTACGATAAAAGCAAAGTAATGCAGCTTGAATATAACAATTATTTCGTGACGTGGATGAAAGTCTTTGTTGAATGCGAATACCATGCTTGTAATCTTTTGATATGGTACATGCTTTTATTGCCATATCGATAGCCGAGTCGGTAGATATTTCAAAAGTTTGATCGAAGAGATTTAGAGCTTCTTTGTATTGCTTCGAATCAAAAAGTTTCTTCATTGTTGAGCTCAATGCCATCGATGATGAGAACAGATTTTCTCCATTTTTTGATTGACATGAAGATAATAAACGATTCAATCGATATATCCAATAACCATTATTTCTGATCAGTAACATATTTTAGTCTAAAGTTATACAACAATATACCTATTTACAGAAAATATAAAGAAACACGATTGTAAATAATACTTTCACAAAATTAATAGTATCGTTTCGTATTGTACAATTCATCTTATTGGTGACTCATACTTTTATACCAATTGGAGCTTTTTATTAGAGCAATCATAATATGATGGGGACAATGCGAAGGCGAAGAAATGACAGAGCTGCATACCCAGGTCGATCAAAACGGACCACCGTAAACGGCCGTTTTGCATCGTATTCCGTCGTAAAACGGCCGTTTTAAGCCCAATTAAGGCGTTTTAACAGGGGCAGTATTACGGTCATACACGGACACTGTATATCAGCCGTAAAACCTCGTAAAGCCGCCGTAATATTATCGTATTCTATAGAATATATGGCCCTATTACTGCCCCTGCTATACGGGGAAAATACGGCACGTAAAACGGGCCGTATTTGTATCGTATACGACCGTTTACTGATCGTTTTCTTCGACCGGGGTAGATACTTATATTTCGGTATTATTATTTTCATAACATGAATATTGATGTTCATGATTAATCTTTTCCCAATCCAATAGTTGTAGACACTTTCGATATATATATATATATATATATATATCGTACCGAAGTTCATCCATTTTCCCCAGACAATTCCCCGCAAAAGAACGAAATCGCTAGGGACTCCCTGGAGATTCTTCTTGGGAGAGTTGACTAGGGTAGCGATAATCATGTATCTAATGAATTTTTAATTTCTTGTATAATTTCAACTACTTCAAAACATTAATTCATAGGTATTAATTGAAAGCCATTTCCATTCATTCCTAGCCACTCGAAATTCGAATGGCTAGGAATGAGTTTTTCCCATTTTCTGATAACAATCATCATATTTTTTTTATAACGGAAATATTGTTTCACATATTTACATATCGATTGTTTACCAAATAGAGCTAAATTCTTCAGTTTCTTACAATTAATCCGTGTTGTATTTTGCATACAATTTTGTATTATTATTCTCAGCCTTTCACAGTTGACACAAAGAAAAATATTATTCGATAAACATGTTTTCGTATCAACCAGGCTTCCATTGATATAATCATCACAAGCTTTATCAAGATTAAGTAAACTAAAATGAGAATATTTAATTCTTGATAGCTGTTGATTGTCACCCTTAAATATTCAAGAAAGTTAATTTTTTTTTTAGTTTTTGATTTTTTATAATTAATTTTATCATAAATGAGAATCGTTGACCAGTTTGAAGGAAAAATTTTCGTTCAAAACGTCGTTCATCAAAAAATGATACACAACGAATACGTTTCAAGAAGCCCCACTGTGGTGGCACCGTGTGTCGTCACGTGTCTTGTTTCTCATTTTGAGCGAGTTTCTTCTTATGTTCTTCTTTCTCTCTCTCGTCTTTATCGTTGTCTCTTTGTCTCGTTTAAAAGTTGAAATTCAATTAATTTTGTTCGGCGCGACTCATCACTTAATACATTTTTGTTTCTCACTCAGTGTGTAAATTACAAGAGCTTAAAGATATATAAAATACACTATTTGATTCTATCTAAAACATCAACTACTCAAAAAAATCATTCTTCTTGTTGCATTTTAATGATATATGATACTGACATTGCCAAATCAACTAAACGTCCCACACCTCCCAAAAAAAAAGACTATTTCTTATATTATCATATCGACTCAATTCATATGCACATAAAAAAAGTATAACATTGGCCTTCTTCACCCTCAGAAAAAACGCAAGAAATAATCTGATTATCTTGAAAATCTTTGAATATATGCTGAATATCTTCATTTGATGTGCAAATTAATTTTAGTACAAAAAAGAATAGTTGAGCGAATGTTAAATATAAACCTTTCTAGACATGGGATAACATTGCTAACATTTTTCTTCAAATCATTACCGTCAATAAATGTGCTCTTGAAATAAACTGTAATATATAAACTAAGTGTTACTAAATTTAATATTCGATGTAAAAGTCGAACAATTAATTCATCATAATCAGATGTTAACACCAGATAATGTCGCGAAAAGCATTCTAAATTAGGTAGATAGATTCTCCTGAAAGTAAAGACAACAGATATAATTTCATTTGAAGTAATTACGTATTTATTAAAATAATCTACCATATCGTCAATTATTAGAGTTGAATGCGCAATCCAATCAATATTAACATGAAGAGTACGAAGTTTATTGAAGCGTCCATCGAGTAAATAAAGACAATCAGTGAAATATACTACATTAACATGCAGTTCTAG